ATTCTGCATGGCCATATTCTACATCCCTAATCCTACACAAAAACTAAACTTAACAACTACCTTACTAACTAGCAAATTAGGAGTTTATTGAGGCAAAAGTCATAATTAATGGCTTGTCAATAGCAAGAATTGGACCTTAAAATAAAGTATGACCGAGTAGTTTTATGAAAATGTGTTTGTAACAATTTTATAATAAAATATCAATATTCCACTAATGTGCACCTTAAGGTGTATTTGATGGCATTATTAATATTGGTAACCCTTTCTGTGGAGCCTATATATAAAATGTATTGTATACAAGGCCTTGTAGAAAATATTTCCAAAAATTGCAATATCAGAGTATATAAAATGAATTTATAAATAACTAGAGGAAAACAATGAGTCACAAATGTGCTGCAATTTTTTGTGACTCTGTACAGTAAAGAAGAGGTTTTAAATGTGTGAACAATGACTGCTGATATACTTGCACAGCCAGGGAGCTTCTCTTCCTCTTTTTCCTTCTCTCATCTCTAAATATTACAAGACGACACTAGAGCGTATGATAAGATTGAGCTTGGTGTAATATCTTGTTGAGGCAAACACACACAAACATTTTTTTCTTGGGCTTCTGGGTTTTGCAGCTGTTATATTAGGGCACACTGGTGCAGTGTTGAGAGAATTAATGACGTGTGTATATGTGTGTGTGTGTGAGAGCTATATCTCATTTGTCTTGTTATGGTGCCATATGTTTTGTTATAGTGTGTATGCATATATAAATGTGCGTGTGCAGTACAATTGACAACATACAAACCTAATTCATCTTACATATGTTTATGAATCATTGGGTTTGTATGTTTGTGTGTCTGATTAATTGCACTGGGATTTTGTGTTTCTCTAGATGTGTGTGTTGAAGAATGGCCTTGTGGGAATGCAGATGACTCAGCGAAATCTCAGGACAGAGGAGGAGACGACTGTGAAAGTGACATCACATTCGGCGAAATGGAGCAAAGACTGGATCTACTGCAGGAACACCTAAACAGGTGAGAGAGTGAGAGAAAGTGAGATAAAAAATCAGGTCACATGAAAGAGTAAATTAAGAGAATATGAGTTAAAACATCAGCTTTAACATACAGAACGCTTTGTGCTGTTGATCGAATGGTGCCTGCTGCCATCTGCTGGTCAGAGACTGTGTTGCATCTCTGCGTCATTATGCGTGTGTGTGTGTGTGTGTTTGTAGGCTGGAAGAGCAGATGACATCAGACATCCAGGCTATTTTACAGTTGCTCCAGAGGCAGAGCACTCTGGGACCTCCGGCGTACAACACTGTGGCCGTCAGTCCAGACTACCACAAACCCGTGCAGCCCGTCACTGCCATGCAGACACAGGTAACACACAGGCTGTGTTCACAAAGCATCTGTCCACTGTGCTGTGCAAAATATCATTCGATTAAAAATTGTTGCCAGATTGGAGCCAATTTTGGGTGACTTTGCAATAGTACATTCAAATGGCAGAAATAGCAGTATGTGTAATCTGTTTTCATCTTTGCAGAGTCCTGATCTAGAGAACACCTGCAAAGCCAAAGACTCCAACGCCTGCAGTTACCACGGAGATGACCTCTGACAGTTACCACGGAGATGACCTCTGACGTCAGCACGCCACTCCATTGGTGACGGAGCCAGAGTGGGAGGCGGGTCTCCACAGGCCCTCCTTTGATCCTGGTTGTCCAAAGGAGTAACATAAGGTCAAAGGTTACAGTTTTCATGGTCGTGAAACCGAATCCAATAACAACAGAATTCCCAGGGGGAAGTACAGTAAGAGCAATGTTTAATCATGAGGATTGAGTTGTAATATTCAGATTTTTTGAATCAAAATGCCTCATAGAGGAGTCACACTTCTGTATGCTTTCATGTAACTATGCATAGACAGAACAAAATCTACAGTAAGCTCAACCTCCTCCCTTCAAAACAACTGCAGCTACAGCTAGATTCAGGGTAGAGAAAACGAAACCGAAGAGTCATATGCAAAGAACTGAAAACGACCTTCAGTGTCCCTCATAGTTAGGCGTCGAACAAAAGCTGGTGAACAGATGCATTAATGCAGTATCAGTCTAAAGGTTGTTCATTTTGTAAATATATAAATGAAATGGCAGTCAGGAAGTAACATACTAGACCATGTTAATGAAAGATGCATGCTGGGAAAAAATGCAGTGTTTATTTTTTGCATGTTTCTTAAAAAAACACTTGCATTGGCAATCAAGTGACATGAGCTTGTTTTTTTTGTCCTATCACTTATTTGAGATTTATATATGTATTTACTTAACTAGAAATTTCCTGGTATTCAGGAAGAATCTTTTACTTGAACTGAACTCTGCAAAGCAAAGCCTCATCATCAAACTGTCATCTCAAAATATCACATTATTCTGCCCATATCAGATTTCCACAGGACAGTTACATTCAGAAACAACACGCTGTCCCTTCAGAGCCCACTAAGCATTGTAACAGTATTCTCAGTATTGCAATATCATGTCTCAGTATTGAATTTGACAAAACTTTGACGGTCAACGAAAGTGGCAGCATTTTTTGGCCCTCATAGTGGGTAATTCAAACCACAGATGAACGTTTGACCACTCCACAAACACCTGGGGGCTTTTAACACTTAAAGGGTCATTTTTAACCCTGGTTAGATATCATTTGCATATTTAAGAGGCAAATTCATGTTTTAATAACTTCTTGTCCATCTGTGGAAATGTTGCCACATAGGTCCCCTCTGGTTGTCCGCTCATGTTGCAGTTTGAGCTGTATTACTCAGATGCTTGAAAGCCTTATTGAATATTTAATGAGGTAAGCATTGAGACAGTTTATGATTGGCTGTCTGTTGCTAAACAGCTCGCCTTTGGATTCTAGCACTTAAAGCAAGATAGATGCCTGATTTCATTCAGTGCTGATACGGCTGCTTAACCCAGGGTTAAAACTGGCCCCGTGAAAAGCCCTTTTGTGTTATATGTTGCTTTTTGTCCTCATTTCTTTATGCAATTTACAGGTTCATTAGAGAAGGTTCTTTCATTCTGAAGCTGTAGCAGTGTTTATCTGTAGAAATCTATCTGGAGAATGTGATCTGCAGGTGAAAGCTCTAGCTTTTGTAGCAGCAGTCATCCCTGGTCTTCCAGACGATAGATCTACGTTAACAGAACCCACAAAATGCACACTTTTAGTTTTGCAGTATAACATGACATTTAGTTCATGTGTAGGAGGACTGCATGTTTAACCAAAGTTAGTTAGTTGAATTAATCACTTAATCACATTTAATGAGATGCATTGAAAAACACGGTCTTCCTAGTGTCAGTAAAAAAAAAAAAAAAGGGGAAAAATGTATGCATGTCTTAATTTAGTAATTTACTCATAGGGCCACCAGATTTAGAGCTTCTTCATGAATGAATGAATCTGATTGGTAGGCTGAAATCTGGAGTCGGAGCATCGTGACATATCAGTGTATGCTCATCACACAGGTATGTCGTTGGCTGTCCCGACTGGCTCGTGTGACCGCTGTGATCACGGCATGCGTTGACCTAACAGTTTCCTGTGAGACGGTCCAAGTCATGTCTGGTGTTTCAGGAAGCTGGCAGGAGTGGGTTTGCCTTTGGGGGGATTGTGGGATAAGGCCAGGACACGTGCCAGTGCGGGAAGAGAGCAAGAGAAAGATACGTTACTATTGCGATCTTTTGCACAAACTCTTTGAAACATCTTGTACAGTGTCACTTTTTAAAACTAGTGCTGTTCGCAAAATTGTTTTTATGCATTTTTTTAAATGTTTGACACTGTATTTTATACAATGCAACACATAACAGCAGGTTAGAATGTTTTCTTCCTTGGATATATTGGTATGTATTATATTTATGCTGTATATTGTGAATATTACAAGAGTTAACGCACAACTGTGTAAATTAATAAAGGACAGAATGCTTAATTTACAATGTTGCACAAATTTTATTTATGGAAAAACAGGGTTTCTGCAGGTTTGATGAAGTTAAATTTAAGGCTTTTTTGAGACCAAGCGAAATTTAAGGAATAGGTTGAAGGGAACACAATGTAAATCTCAGTTGCAGACAAAGAGTTACTAGAATATGGAAAAAAATCAAAAGTGATGTTCTTTTGCAGTATTTTTGTCCTGTTTTCCAGTGCAAAAATCTAAAGATTCTTAAATCATGATACGTTTACTTAAGAAGCAAAATGACATTAAATAAGAAGTCCTCTTTTCTGTTAAACTGATCAAAATGAACTTTATTAAAACGAGAACAAATGTGTCAGTGAGCTCAGAAAAATCTACTAGGGGAAAACAAGTTTTATACCCCACTGACAAATATTTGTTCTTGATTTAAGCGTATTTAATTTAGTTTATTTTACATTTGTAGTAAATGTATCATCTTGATGTTTAGATATTGTATTAGAAAACTAAAATACTGAGGAAGATCATTTTTTGCAATGCATGCAAGAGTTAATTCCATGACTTTATTAATTTAAGTTTTACTTTCTGCTATACTTTAAGACCTGTAGAAAACCTGAAAAAGCACACTTATATATATATATATACTTCCTCAGTATTTATATATATATATTTATAAGAACCTGTGGAAAAATAGACTTTTTATGCACCATCTGCAAAATTCTATCGAATAGGTGGAAATGGGGAAAAACTAAAATCTCAGAAACTGAGATAGGGTACAGTGGAATCCAAAAATATGAGGCCACTAGAATACAACACATTTTTAAAAATCCTCAGTCGATTATTGAGCAAAAAAAAGCGCAGAATTTTAAACTAATAGTTAATTTTACGTCTAACTTTTCTCAAAATCCTAAAACCTTTTATTTCTAAATCTACAATGTCTTGACATTTGGACCCCACTTCATACTGAAAGTGTAATATACTAAATTTGCTTTTATAGCTCGAATAAGGCTAAAAACTATTATTTCAATGCATATTATAGAGTATATCTTCACCAACAATTCTGAGTGTGTTTCTCTGCGTCACACACTAAGCAGCAGAGCGACCCCTGCCAGAACCCATTTTGCAGGCCTCTCTCTGGTCTTCAGGCTGAAAGTCCAGATATATGTGTTAGCACGTAGTTTGGTTTTATAGACGGGGCATTCGTAGGTATTGCGCGTCTCCTGTCGGTCGTTTGGGATGGCTCGGACAGCTATAACAGGCATGCTGGGGGTTAGTTCCTTCAGGCGTGCTTCTGCGATTGTCCCACCTTGAATATCCCAGCGTGCACCTGCGGTCACAAGCACTGACTTTAGATTCAAATGCACCCAAATGGCTCAGATAATATAAGAAAGCATTCTAATTGGCTGAGGGTTCTGATTGGCTGACAGAAGTGCCCTGTGATTGGATGAATGATACAGACCCTCCATGTAAAGGCCATAGATGTAGGCTCCCTCTCTGGCTGACTGGTTAAACTCCTCTTTGAACTTCTTGGTCACATCCACAGTCAAATTCATCTTGTCCAGTGGCCATTCATTCTTACGTGCCAAACTCTGCATCACAGCTACAAAGGCAAAAAGTGTGTATGATGCACATATATAAACAAAAAAACGTCTTACACTACCTATATATATATATATATTTATACACATACTAGTGCTGTCAAATAAAAGTTGGTGTTTACATAATGTGTGTATTTTGTATATATGTATATGTG